ATAGTTTTAGAATTCCAAATTTATTTTGCTTTGTTGTTAGGGGTGTGACAAGGTCTTGATACTAAAATGTGACTATATTTAGCGTTGTGGTGTAAAGAGGTCTTGTGATATTGGTACATAACAGAACCAGAGCAGCAGCCAGCATGACAGAGTGTGAGGGTGAAATAGCATAGAAGATGCTCCCGCCACTTATGAGTCATTCATGTGGCAGCATTTTGGGTACCCGATGGCAAAAAGTGATGGACAAGACATGGACAATATGTAAGCACTGAAAGGCAATAGTGCAATACACTGCGGATAACATGAGCACTGTCCAAAAACACCTAGAGAACCACCACAGCTCTCTACAAAAATCAACTGCACCTGTGAAGAAAATGCTGAAAGGCCAGACAACACTGGCAAATGCCTTTGCAACTCAACTTCCACAGTCAAGTACTAGAGCCAAGGCTATAAGAGGGAGAGAAAAGTTTGGTCAGTCTTTGCACCATAAGTACTACTTTGATTCTTATTCGACTGAAAGTCGAAATGCAAGACACCACAGGTGCACTTTGAAATGTTTTAACTAACCATCTTGTAATGAATGCCACTTCAGTTCTGATTATAAATCATCATATGCAGTAAAAGACAATATGCAAGCACTATAAGCACTGTAGGTTTTGCCATAGACCCACCTGACTGTTTCTCTCCTGTATGTTTTCACATGAGTCTCGAGACCTTATACATTAAATGAGCATGAACTTCTAACTGAGGCTGTGTGACCCAACTGAAGTTCTTTCCACAAATTCAACAAAAAATAGAGTATAAAAATGTAAAAAAAAAAATCCCAGTGCAAACAATAAGCACAACCACTATTTTTTTCCAGCCATGTTTTGTCATTGTTGACTTTTTAAAGCTGGTGTTAATCTCCTTGTGAGCGCAGTGTGTTGTCACACGCACCTACCTGTTGCTCTTTGTTTTTTGCCCCTCCAGAGTAACTGGAACCAGATCGTGGACAGTTTTGATGACATGAACCTACGTGAGGCTCTGCTCAGAGGAATTTATGCATATGGTTTTGAGAAACCTTCCGCAATCCAGCAGAGAGCCATTATCCCTTGTATCAAGGGTAAGTGATGGTGAACCTTTTGCTAAAGATGTGTGTGTGTTCCATCATTGCAGTTCAGTTATGAAATCCACAAAGCATCTCTCCTGCTCCGGACACCTGTCAGTTGCATAGGATGATGAAGTTGTACCATCTGGTTCAAAGGTACTTCAGTGACCTTTTGATGGTATTTAGCACTGCATGTTCTCCCTGTGCGGGTTCTCTCCAGGTACCCTGGCTTCCTCCCACAGTTTAGAGACATGCATCTTAGGTTGCGACTCTCTAAATTGTCTATAGGTGTGAGTGTGTGTGTGGTTGTTCATCATAGGACTGACACATAGACAGACTGGCACCTGTCCGGGGTGGACCTCACCTCTTGCTCGATGTCAGCTCCAGCCCCCTGATACCCTATTCAGGAATAAGCGGTATAGATAATGGATGGATGGAGAGCATCTTGGCAGCCATGTATAAATGTAAACCAAAAATAAAATTGTTACAAGATTTCAGCATTGAGGTACAATTGCATTCAATGCTTTTGGTTAGGCTACTAACATAAGCTTGTATTGGGAGTCATGAGACACCCGTTCCAAAGGGTTGCTAGTATCCCACCCTTGTGCTGTTCATACAGATCAAGCTAAGGGCGGTATAATTGCGAGCCAGCCTGTGAATTCAGACTGGCATTGTAAAACAGAGGCGAGACAGGATGTCATTCTGCAATTTTTGTCACATTTGATTAAATTTTGCACTGGTAGTCTACGAGCCAAAACAACAATGGTAGGAGTGCAAATGTAGCTTTGTTGGCTGTTCAAGCTTTTTTTTTTTTTTTTTTTTTTAACCACTTCACACAGAATTGGTTAAGGATAATCCCGTTTATTTGGCCAAGTATGTTACACAAAAAGAATTTGTTTATGGTACAGAACCGAGGCAGCCATCTGCGGCGCCAACTCAACCGATGGCTCTAACCATCTGGTGCAAATTGGGAGTTCACTGTCTTGCCCAAGGACACTCCGACATGTGGACTGCAGGCACTGAGATTCGAACCTCTGACCCTCCGGTTGGGAGATGACTGCTCTACCCATTGAACCACAGTCACCCCGCTTACCTTTTTTGTTTTTAGCGTATTTTGTACTAAAGTCATGAGTAATAACTGCAGTTAGTGCATTTGTGACATCAGGAATGCTTTAACCTATAAGTTGGAGAGAAGCCAATAAGTTTAAAGCAGAGAGGTGTGCAGACTTGAGATGCTAGTGATAGTGTCACACAGATATTTATTACATCTTCAGAACTTGATCCCGGACTGCCGGTTCACCCCTTTCTCCACGGAGCTCGTCACCCCCTTGTTTTGTCTTTGGTACCACCTCCCAAGGCAGATGAGAGGGAGAACTAAAATGGCCCACCATTCCAGCTTTGTGCCTTGCACACAGTAAAGGCGTACCAGTCCCGCCTTCAAAAGGCAGTGTGTAAGGGGCTTCGGTCTCTGCCTGTACAGGACATGAGGAGACACCCTGCATGCTGTCTTGTCTGTTGATGCACCCGGTGTGTTCTCTTCACACTGCCACATCAGTTATAAAGTTGTTTTATCTGCATTAGAAAATGGACATGTGGTGTGAGGGCTGGCAGACCTGCTTTACATACAGCAAGAAACGGGACAGAATTGGCAGGAACCAGTTTTGGTCGCTGTGAAACACCCACTGACACACAGAGCACCTCTTGGCTTGCTACAAGTGCTGTAAAAAAAAAAAAAAAAAAAAAATTTGCCAAGAATAGTCATTGGCACTGAATGACTAACTGACCTGTTCTACAACTGCAAAATAAGGGGGTAGTCCTTTTATGAAGTGTATTGCAGCAGCTGGATCTTATAAACAAAACACGTTGTGTACACAGTGTTTTACTGCCCCTAGACGGGTTTGACTTTCTCTGGTTGGTGGCCATGCCAACTGGTGGTCAGGTTCTCAGTACTTGGCCAGTTCCAATGTGATCCTCCCCAGCCACTGGGGGCAGTGTTGAGCAAGCTGCTGCTTGACGCAATAGAATTAGAAGAAGAAGCCAAAATACACTTAGACAAGACACATAAAGGTGAGATTTGTGCTTTAATGGGGGTGTATTTATAATGTCGTGGTCTACTTTTTCAAGAGAAGAAACTTTATGGGTGGCTACAAGTTAAACTAGCAAAATAACATGAAAAAATATCCTGGTAGATGTGTAATAGTCTCATGAGGGTATTGAGAAATTACAAATGTCCTTGCATCCCTAAGTTAAAGTGTGGTGTACCGTGGATTGATTCAGAACTTTGCAAAAACCTGTGTTGATTTCAGAACAGTGGGATATTAATGTGCTGCTCTTGCACATTTATGACAACTTGAACTCCAGCAAAATTGTTGTGCACTGTATACATGTTAATTATGGTCTCAGATTTGTGTTCACAAAGTGTTTGTATGATATGATGTATGTTTGAGACGCAACCTCCCTGCAGAGACACAAACAATGCCTTATCAGAAGTCAACATTTGCCCTCAATCTACCTCTTCCCTTATACGCAGATGGGCTCAGCTGACTCCAAACGCTTGGCTCCAGGGTTGAGAGCAGCAATAGAAATGTAACATGCTGTCAATTAGTTTTAATACAATGCTCATCTCCATGTGACAGTTACTGAACCTGAAACTTGTGTGTGAGCCCTGAACTAAACGGTCAAGATGTGCTGCACTGGTTTGCTCTAAGGGCACATGAAAATCCGCAGAATCCGTCTTACCTTTTTTTTGTTTGTTTTTTTTTAATTTTGTCTTTAAGGTTATGATGTGATTGCTCAGGCCCAGTCTGGCACTGGGAAGACCGCCACCTTTGCCATTTCTATCCTCCAGCAGATCGATTTGGAGCTGAAAGGCACTCAGGCTTTGGTCTTGGCTCCTACCAGGGAGCTGGCTCAGCAGGTAGGCTCATTCTGAAACTCTGCTTTCAAAATGTTTGCATTTTGGACATCTCGTCTTCTGACCCTTGAAACACAGACTTTCCTGACTCACATAAATGAGTGTGCAAGTTAAGGTCTGTCTGTGCTGTCATGCACCTGCAGTAAATTAGCAACTATTCTAATAATTGTTTAGGGCAGTGTAACAGTATTTTTCACTATTGTTGCCAGTTTTGCAAACTGGTTAATTGATTTAATGTGTTGATTCTGTTTCATAAATGTGTAAATCAAATCAACATGCATTGATGCAGAGCTTTAAAACAACCAGGGGTTGTCCAGAGTGCTTTACATGAGCAAAATAAAATAACAGGTGTAAAGACGCGAGTTGAAACATGTTGATGAAAATGAGCTGTACACAAACCAGATAGTAAGGTAACGCAAGTTAGGAGCTGAAACAAGTCAAGAAGTGTCATGGCACTACTGGGAAGCAAAAGCCAATGTAAATATTTTGTTTTTCCTTAAAAAAAAAAAAAGCCTGATCGGTGATTGGCGCTAATGTCAGCTGGCAGAGTATTCCACAATTTAGGAGCAGCTGCTGAAAAGGTGCAGTCATGCATTGCTTGCATCTTGCTTTTGGATTTGTAAAAGAAGTGAAATAGAAGACTGCTCTGTCATACTTGCAGGGGATTAGAAGTTTTGCCAAGTAGGAAGCAGTCAGACCACTGTGGGCTTTAAACTTCTCATGTTCACTTTTAAACTCCTCCCTAAAATATATAGGAAGCCAATGGAGGGAATAATGAACAGCAGTTGTATAACCACGCATGGGAGGGTTGTTTTAAAAGGTGAGCAGCATTCTGTACTAGTTGGAGATGAAAAAAGATTGATTGGCTCCAATATATAGTCTCATCTTGAACTGATAAAAGCATGAATTATCTTTTCAAGGTTCTTGTGAGTAAGGAAGGACTTTGAGTAGATGAAGCTGAAGGAAAAAAAACAAACTTGGTTTGGTTTAAGTCACTATCCAAGTTCTTTGGATCTGATTTATGAGAGGCTAGACATTTAAGATCAATGCTAACAGGCATGTCTGAGGCGCTGATTAAAGTAGCATATAGCTTTTGTTGTATTAATGTGCACAGAGCATTTAAAATTGAATTATTATATTAAAGTACATTATTTTTAAAAAAAATGTAGTTTAACTTTATTATAACTCCTAAAATGTTTGCCTAAGCCAGTTGAAGGCAGGATACATGTGCATGATCTGTATGGTGCCACCTCTGCCTCATTTTGTCTTTGCATCATCTTCAAACCTCTTCCCCAATAGCCCTTCTACCAGGGGTACCCGGGGTTTAAAATAAAAAAAAACAAACTCCAAGGCCTATTGTTGGAAGTGTTTCGAATTTGAACAAAAAAAAAAAAATTGTAATGCTAAAATGGTTTAACCAGCGTCAAAATCCAACATGCAGCATATGACCTGTCTTGACTATTTTAATCCTATCAACAAATGGTATTCTGTTTTTCACCTTTGTTTACAGATCCAGAAGGTGGTGTTGGCCCTGGGTGACTACATGGGAGCCAGTTGCTATGCCTGTATTGGAGGAACCAACATTCGCAGTGAAGTCCAGAAGCTGCAGGCTGAAGCTCCTAACATTGTTGTGGGAACCCCTGGCCGTGTCTTTGACATGTTAACTCGCAAAAACCTCTGTGAGTATCATGGCTTATTAGTGACATGCTTTTAATTGAAAACTGATTCTCAAATGAATTTCAGAATGATTGTAATGCTACAGATCAAAGCTGCTTAATAGAAGTATTTTATCCACATTTGGGCAGATGAATTTGTACTTGACTGAATGAGGTATGGAGATGGAAGTTCGACTTGTAAAATGTGATTGGTTCTCATTCCACAAGCCATGTATGAAAGGGCATTTGATTTTAATGCCCTTCAGATGGTCAGTTTATTCCTACTGCTGTGTAATGATGAAAACCATGCGTGTCAGCTGACTCTGTAAACCCCTGGTGTATTTCTGCTCTGGTTGGCGTTCTGCTGGCTGGAGTTCTGAGGACAGCAGGGATTCAGAGACATGATCATACATCCTTAATTCTGAATACAGCAGCCAACACACAGTCATTGTCTAGTGTTGATAGTTGAGTCTTCACAGAAGAATGTTCTTGAAAAGAGCTGTGACTACTTAGTAGAGGTAACATGAGATTTGTTCTTGACTGCACATCTGTCAACAACCTCACTATGATCTCACATCCTACTCTTGTGTACGAGATCAATACCTTGAGATTTCTTTAAATTAAATACACTTGATATCTTTAAATTCCTTCAAAGCAGAGATTGCACTGGACTTATTGCTGGTAATTTTGATGGATATTAATTTTTTTTTACTCAACCCCACCCTATGAAAGGAGACGGTGGAAACTGCATGAATCTACTCATTTTTCTGAAGTGAAATGTGGTGTAGCAAAGGGCTGTTCTTGGCCTTTTATCTCTATTATTAAAAAAAAAGGTACATCCGTCTGACAATATTCAACTAAAATAACCTCGGCTTCAAAGTCTTCACTGCATATATTGTGCGTCTGGACAGACATGCATGTAATCTGCAGCTTGACTGGTTGGCTGAGGCATCAGCTGCAAGACTGTAATTCTAGTTTATTTCTTTTTCAGCTTCTAAGCACATCAGAATGTTTGTGCTGGATGAGGCTGATGAGATGCTTAGTCGGGGGTTCAAGGACCAGATCTACGAGATCTTCCAGAAACTGGCAAGCAGCACACAGGTAAAAGCATGTTCTCTTAAATTAAGTTGAGCCATCTGGCAGTGTGTACAACTTGACAAGCTTTCAGTTGGCATCAGATTTGCCTTGTTCTGTAGGTCAAATGAGCTGGAAATATCAATTTACCTGAACTAGTGGACAAAAAATGACTTTCACAGGGCTTAAAGTTCTCCAGCATTGTGCTGGATTTCAGCTGTGGGGGTGTTTTTGATTTCAAAATGGATGTATAGGAAATATTCTTGCAAATTTTTTTTTATTTTTATTTTTTTATGTTGTGTAAGAATAAGCCTGCAGCTGTATATGCCTATATGCATCCATATTGGATGTTCTTTACAATTGCAATACATTTAGCCTGCCAGACTATGGTTTGACTGAGGAAAGGGTGAGTAGAGAGTGTTTTGTTTTTTCTCCACCATTTAGACCTTTTCAAGTTGATGTGAGGATTCGCATTTGGACCACGTTCACACTGCAGGGTGAAGTGACTCAAATCAGATCTTTTTGCCCAAATGCGACCCATATCCGATTTCCTTATGACAGTGTGAACAGCACAAATCCAAATTTTTTTTTTTCCAAATCCGGCCCAGGCCACTTTCATATGTAGTCCTAAATCGGATACGTATCCGATGTTTTGCAATGCAACTTCAGTCTGAACGGCCAGGTTGCATTTCATGCGATTTTTATGTCATTGAAATGCGACAGACGTCATAATTCTGCGCTGGAGGAAGTGAGGGGTAATAAAAAATGGCGGACAACGGTGATTCAGGTGGTGATAACCTTTCCCTTCTCACTCGGAAATTATTAATGAATTCTGTATCCATGAAGACCCTCGCGGAAGCCCACCAGTCCTGGCTCCGACTTGGCACCCACACATTCTTCTGTACAGAGGTAGCAGCCACTGCTCCACAAAAGGCCATATTTGTGCTCTCCTTCTTGATATTCTTCTTATGTCTTTATTTCGATTGCAAATTGTCAGGTACATCGCTATGCACATGCTATCACCAGCCACATCCATTTTTATTTCCGCAAACACAGTACGCTGCGTCTGACGTCACGTCCTCTTCTGCGCATGCGGGTCACTTCAGGGCAATATACCGTTCACACATGAGACAGATGGCAGTCGCATTTAAATGACGGTGTGAACAACAGCGCAAAAAAAAATTGGATTTCATTTAGGACTGGCAGAAATGTTGATTCAAATCTGGTCTTAACTTGCCTTTTCCCTCATCTGTGGTTATTAGGTTGTCCTGCTGTCGGCCACCATGCCAGCTGATGTTTTGGAGGTCACGAAGAAGTTCATGCGTGAACCTATCCGAATCCTGGTCAAGAAAGAGGAGCTGACACTTGAGGGAATCCGCCAGTTCTACATCAATGTGGAGAAAGAGGTCAAACATTTTAGCGTTGTGAAGTTTTTATTCAGCAAACTACACATTGAGACTGAGGGTAAAACAGAACTTCAAGGATGAGTAAGATGCTCTGTAGATGCATTGAAAAAGTAAACAGCAAGTACACAAAGTTGCTAATGTTTTTAGTTGCACCTAGCTAAAATGAATGCCGCTCAGTCAACAGTGCTGCAACATATTCTTCCTTAAGGTTATAATCGATTTTTGTAGAAACTGCCTTCCCTGTGTTTACTGTTTATGTTGCTATATACAGTGGTGCTTGTTTATGCCCATTTTATCAGAGAGACTAGGATAAATACAGTCATGGGGCCAAACATACTGGCACTTCTCATAATGCACTACTTCTCACAGAAAACTGTTCTAATTACGAATTCTTTGGTATTCTCATGTTTCTTTTGTCTGTATTGGAACAACAGAAACGAGCAGAGGAAAATAAGACAAATCTGATACATTCCACACAGAACTCCAAAAATAGACTGGACAGAATTACTGACACCTTTTCAAAATCATCAGAAATAGTTGTATTTCCAGCATGTGATGCTCCTTTAATTTATAATGAAACTGAGATCTCAAAACAGCAACTGGGAGAAGGAAGCCTTCACATCTGAGAGACCTGGAGCAGTTGGCAAAAGAAGAGTGGTCTTTTTTGTGTTGTTCCATTGCAAACAAAAGAAATATACACAAGAATGCCAATCCAGTTATTTTGTCCAAAGGGTGTGCTACCAGATATTAAGATGAGGGTGTCAATTCTGTCCAGTCCACTTTTGGAGTTCTGTGTGGAATGGATCAGATTAGGCCTTTTCTGTTCTAGTGCAAACAAAAGAAATAAACATGAGAATACGAAAGACTTGGCAACAGTTTTCTGAGAGAAGTGGTGCGTTATCTGATAGAAATGTAGGAGTGCCAGTATTTTTGGCCAGGACTCAGTTTTATTGTTTAGCCCAAGATCATGAGCCGTAAAACCTTAACTATCCCCCCCCCCCCACTGTCTTCACTTCACATCTACCAACTTTGACAAGCAAACCAAAGGGAAAAACATGAGAATAACAAAGAATTGGCAAGGAAACCCACATGATGCAAGAGGTGTTTCTGATGTCGTGGGAGACCATTAATAAAAAAAAAAAAACACTAAAATGTATCCAGGCCTAATGATGTAGTTTCACAGAAACACCCTTTACTACTACAAAATTGATCGTACAGTTGAATTACAATCTCAGCTAGTTTGAACCTTCATGTGGGAGGATTTATTTATTAGGTTACAATACCTTTTAAGCTAGGTGTATCTAAACTGCCAGCTGAGTCTAATGTAACTAATGAAGTACATGCTGTGCTCAAACGGCTTGAAACTGAGCTTGTGTCTGATCTGGTGGTGTTTCTCAGGAGTGGAAGCTGGACACACTGTGTGATCTGTATGAAACCCTGACCATCACACAAGCTGTCATCTTCATCAACACAAGGAGGAAAGTAGACTGGCTTACTGAGAAAATGCATGCCAGAGACTTCACCGTCTCTGCTCTGGTAAGAGACTGTGTTCAGCTTTTCTGCTCAGTTTAAGTTCAAGTGAGAGCAAATAAGTCTCCCCTTCCCTTTTTCTGGTTTTCTTTTAAGGCCCATGTGGTGTAATCTTCACTTCTGGCACTTCTGGTTGGTTCAGACTCACTCCATTCACAAATGTGTTCTCACACTTGTCATTATTAAACATTGAAACAGCAACAAAAAAAAGAAACTTAGAAAAATCAACTGGACTAGGTTTTTAGGTCGCAGACATTTCACCTGTCATCCCAGAGGCTTCATCAGTTCTGAAAACCTAATCCAGTTGCTTTTTCATCTTACTATGACCTGGATGACTGAGAATCTGCACGGACAACAAAAAATGTTGCTCTTAAGTTTTGGTCTGTGTGACTACCTTCCCTTTAGTTGCATGAGTATAATGTAAATGTCGAGCCCTGCCCCCACTGGTCAGCCAGGAATGGCAGTGTCCTTTTAATGGTACAGAGGAAAGGATTATGAAGAATCTCACTGGACATGGGTTATTGTGCACAAGCTTTAGTCATTGTGCAGTGGAAAATTTACCAAACTGGAAATGTAGCCTTGTTCTGTATTGGGTTTAAATGGTAAACTGGTGGCATTTGTTGTTTTGATATTTAACTTCGGTTCAGTGTGGCCTTGGCTTCATTTGTTTTCTTCCAATCTTGCCTTTCAGCACGGTGACATGGACCAAAAAGAGAGGGACTTGATCATGAGAGAGTTCCGCTCTGGCTCCAGTCGAGTCCTTATAACCACTGACCTGCTGGTATGTACACAAACAGCCTCTTATAACATTGTCTACAGTGGGGAGCGGCAGGGAATAGCAACAGATATTAAGCATGTGTGGGTTTTGTTGTTGTTGTTGTTGACATGGGTCCACGGTTCCCTCTCCTCCCATCTGCAGTGATGGTGAAGGACTGAAAGTTCCTTGGTAGAGAAGGATATCTGCCCTCCACTGTGGCTGGGTTTAAGTCCTTGGCTCACAACTAATTGGCAGATAACAATTAATTTTCTAAATATTTTGATGGTATGTAACATTTTGAATGGGACCGAACTTGGTTTGAATGGTCTTTACCCAGTGTTGACCTATGGACAGTACAGCCTTAAGTGTCTGGTGTTTTAAAGCTTCATCTCCATTCCTCTGTATTGTGGATATAAATGCCTTTGTGCTATGTAACTAATGGTTTTTGTTCCTTCTCAGGCCAGAGGTATTGATGTCCAGCAGGTGTCCCTAGTCATCAACTATGACCTGCCGACCAATAGGGAAAACTATATCCACAGGTATAAACACAACTAAAGGATGTAAGGTGTCAAAATACTAACTGGCTTGCACATTGTGCATATACTGGAATTTGTTGTAAATCTGTGGTTGTAACATTAGTTCATCTTGAGACGAGGAATTCATTTGCGATATGTATTAGTTAATTGATAATGAGCTTGGAAGAGACGAGTGTGGAGGACTGAATACTTTGTAACCCATCACCAGCGGACTGATGTTAGTGTAGTGTGGCATCGAACATATTAACAAACGAGCACCTCAGTCAAACTGGCAGGACAGTTTTTATAGATGTGTGCCCATTTTGGATCACACTGGCTTCCTTTGGTAGTAGCTGCAGACATAACATTAACACCACCACAGCCTAGTGCTCTGCTTTGTTCCTCCCCTTTACAACAACACACAAACGAACAGTGGAAGAAGTACTCCTTGTTTACTGAAATAAATTAAGAGTACCACAGTGTAAAAATATTCTAAAAGGCCTGCATTCATAAAAGCACAAAAGTATTTGTATCAAAGTATAACATGCTTTATATAAAGTATGGCACATTTACATAGTTAAATTAAAATTTAGTTATTGCGAAGCTGCAGCTGGTAAAGATTAAGCTAGTTTTAATGACCTTATATTAGGTTAACTGTATTTTAAACTTCATTAGCAGCTCAGTGGCACAGGACAAATCAGTTGAATGACACGGTAAACTGGAATAAGAGCTACAATATGGTAGTGCACTTGTTAAATATTTTTAATTTGTTTGTTCCCTGTCAGGATTGGTCGAGGTGGTCGTTTTGGCAGAAAGGGAGTAGCCATCAACATGGTCACTGAAGATGACAAGCGAACCCTGAGGGATATTGAGACATTCTACAACACCACCGTTGAGGAGATGCCCATGAATGTGGCTGATCTTATCTAGAAAAAATCCCCACTGCCATCATCCACCCCCTTTAGAAATTAAACCTTTTCTTCTACGGTCTGAACCATGATTTTACCCTCTACGTTTTAAGGGAAGGGAGAATGCCCCTGTTAATTCTTCTTAACCTTTTGAAATAGTTTTTGGCCATATTGGAAGGATGAATTACTGACCTGCTTCATGTTTGCCATAGTCTTTCTCCATATTTTAGTTTCCCCACATGCAAAACACAAGCACATACGAGATGGTGATTAAAAAGACTTTAGATCTGACTATTGGGAAAATAACATAACTTCAACATGTTAATACAAAGGTGATTGTTTTTTTTTGTTTTGGGGAAATGGAAGCGATTTGCATATGTACAGCATCACCACATGCTCCAAGGCTGCCTGGTGAGGGATACATGAGTTGTTTAGACTGCAGTTCAGTATGAACATGACCCTGATTGACACAATGGTCAGTGCTGCATTTGACCACATCAGTATTTGAGGGACCTTCAGTGCTTAAAACGACCTTTTATCATGTAAGAATACATGTGTGAGGTGAAGCCCATGTGGCATATTCAATAAAAAAAAACCTGTTTACCATTTAGATCCATTTTACTGCAGTTATATACTTGGGTTGGGTTGTTTTTGTGACTTGTGCAGTAGCTGAGGACTGAGTGGTGGCCACAGATGTCTAAGTAGATATAACTGAGTTCTATAGAGACTTCGGTTGGATTTTCAACTCAAAAGCCTCTGACATTCTTGGATTTTATTTTCAAAACGGATGTTAGATTTTTGATAGGGTGATTTGATTTCTTTTTTTTTTTTTTGGTAACCTACCTCATTAAAATGTTGGAGGGAGGGGATGACTGAAATGAAAGGACCAAACTACAGATTTGATTAAGTATATAGAGAATATACTCCCCAAAAACATTCTCTCCTCTTACTAAGTCCTAATATTAAAACTTCTGTCATGGGGTGTGATGTCTGGTATATGACAACAGTCATGTTTTGGGGTATGTGGTCAGTGCTATTTTTTAAAATGCATTTATGGAATTGTTAACCTTTTTGAGACAGAAACAGTGTATTAGATTTTCTACATTGGATTCTGTATAGTATTTATTTTAATGGTCTTAAAAAAAAAATAAAAGGTTTCTCCTTTAACAGCGTGATCTTTGTACTGTTAAATAGCACGAGAGCTCTTGTGGCCAAATCTTCTTGTGCAAAGGCAGGTATTTTAATGAATATATCCATCCATTATCTATAGCGCTTATTCCTGAACAGGGTCTCAGAGCCAGTCCCAGCTGACACTGGGCAAGAGGAGGGGTCCATCTTGGACAGGTCGTCAGTATCACAGGGCTGACATGTAGACAACCGCACAAACTCATTTAGAGCCACAATCAACCCAAATTGCACGTCTTTGGACTGTAGGAGGAAGCTGGAGTACCTGGAGAGACCCCACACAGAAAGGCATCGGGCTGGCCGGGGCTTGAACCCAGAACCTTCATGCTGTGAGGTGACAGTGCTAACCACCTCAGCATCGTTATCATTTACAGCATCCACACAATAAGTTGCGTTTTTGACTATGACAGTACCTCAAATCCTACCTAACATGTTTGAGCCAGAATATGAAAGTGAAGTGTGACAAATGGCAACAGCATTAATTTGAGTTTCTCCTCTATAGATGGGTAGACAACGTGTACCAATGAAAAATGATTTATAACACTAAAAGTGGGTAATTAAAAAATGCATACATCTATGCGGCCTCTGTGAGCGCAGGTCGTTGGAGGGGGTCGGGCCCTCGTGGAGTCTGTTTGACAGTTGTTTATTTGTCCCTATCAACACAAAGGGTTTTGCCTCTAAGCTGCTCCCTTAATATGGAAGCTACTCAAAAGCACTGGTCATTAAGGAAGTGTTTTCATTCTGGGACCTTCTCTCCCCACATTGACATGTTGGGATCCTCACCAATTTATATTCCGGGATGTCATAATTTATAAATTAAGCACTGGGATTAGGGGTAAACTTATGTCACTGAGTGCAAACGGTGCGATGCACACAGCTATGTGTTTGTGTATGTCCTGCACACTGTTTGGTTGATCCAACTCTGCTCTGAACGAGATATAGCTGCCTGCTATTGTGACAAGCCCGAAGTATAAATAATCCACAATAATCGCCATGGTCTGACCCATAAAATCTACCAGGTACAGCCTTTGATGGCACGAAAAGTGCTGTTCTGGTTTAAGTTAATAATCTCTGCCCTCTGGATATCCCAGCCAATAAATTTGAAAGAGATCAACCCAATGAGTGTTGGACCAGGACAGTCCAAACTAAGTCAACACTGGTGTCCTCAGACCTCAGGTTTGATTGTTTTGTTTAAATGTTTGCTTTTCTGTGCTATTTTAGCATTGATTGTATGTTTATCATACTGTAAACTGTTACACATGAGATACTGTAAACATGATAGTGAACTTGTGTCTAAGCTGCTGTTAATAATAGTAGCACATATGCAAATATGTTTATTTCTCCTTACCAGATTATTTTGGTCTTATTTGACCATTATACTTTATTCATTGAAAATTTCATTTGGACAACAATTTTAAGAATTTTTTTGAGAAGTGAAAGAATTCTGCTGTCTCATTGTGTAAGAGTTAGTGCTTTGCATTTCTACGTGTGTATTTAGGGAACTTTGTTAGTCTGTCTTCATATAGTTCGGTTAAAAGTAAATCATGGGAAACATAACAGAGCAATTCTAAACCTAGAAGATTTTTCAGCCGTTTGCTTGAGATAACCTAAAGAAAAGTGACAAAGCCTAAAGTAGAATGGTCGTTTTATTACTGTTTAGAATATTGGAAAGACAGATGCCAGCCTTACCAATGCCTGGACTCTAGAGGGCGTCCAGATATCAAACAAATGTCAGAAGGGAAAAATCAGCCTATGTGGCTAAACCGGTTTTTTTCACTCTCAGGGAACAATGTTCATTTATTACCTAGTAACTGAACTTGAAGAAAACACTACCTACATATTTTAGACCATACAAAATTTGGGACAAAGTCCCCCTAGCTGTCCAAGAGTTTTCTAAAACCTCTGGACTGTACTTAAACATTAATAAATGTGAGTTATTAACATTGTGTCTTGACTACCATAAACAACATTCCTATCAAAGACAAAATTGTCTTCCTGGTCATTACTATTTCAAGAAAAAATAAAAGCAGATGTCTAGAGAATTTCTTCTCCACTACTGACAAGCCCAGTAAAAAATGGAATCACTGGCTGCACACAGAGTTGACTGACTTTGAGTCTTGACTTGATCAGATTTTGCAAAATTTTCTGTGGAAGAACATCTCTCACGACATTTTAAAATAAGACATAAGCCACCGGCCAAAATGAACTAATATTATAATGGTTGCTTAAATTATATGGACTTCTCCACTCTTAACAGTAAGGTCAAATGGTGTCAGCAGCACTGAAAACACCCCAAACTTTGTCCCTAATCCTACAGCTGATTTTGTCATCTTGGTGGTCTGGATTGTTGTTGCTCTGTATTAGAACCTGGACACATTTCAGTCAAACATACATGTGGCACAAGAAATACAGTATATGCTATACAAGAAAAAAAATAGCTTTCTATAAATAACTGGAAGGACAATAAATAACTGGAAGGACAATGGTATCACCATTGGGAATCAGTTATTTAATAATAGAGGAGGTTTTGTAATAAATGAACATTGTTCCCTGAGAGTGAAAAAAACCGGTTTAGCCACATAGGCTGATTTTTCCCTTCTGACATTTGTTTGATATCTGGACGCCCTCTAGAGTCCAGGCATTGGTAAGGCTGGCATCTGTCTTTCCAATATTCTAAACAGTAATAAAACGACCATTCTACTTTAGGCTTTGTCACTTTTCTTTAGGTTATCTCAAGCAAACGGCTGAAAAATCTTCTAGGTTTAGAATTGCTCTGTTATGTTTCCCATGATTTACTTTTAACCGAACTATATGAAGAATTGCTCTGTTATGTTTCCCATGATTTCCTTTTAACTGAACTATATGAAGACAGTGTAACCCTTCATTCACGTAACAACAGACTAACAAAGTTCCCTAAATACACACGTAGAAATGCAAAGCACTAACTCTTACACAATGAGACAGCAGAATTCTTTCACTTCTCAAAAAAATTCTTAAAATTGTTGTCCAAATGAAATTTTCAATGAATAAAGTATAATGGTCAAACAGCGACCTGGTAGGTTTTACTGGCCAGACAGTGGCGATTAATAATACTTTGGGCTTGCCATATGCTATTGGTCTGCCCAGTGGATACTCACAGCAAATCGAAATTACTTGGTTAGACTGAATGACCACCTATCCTCAATCTTAGTTGTTACTTCCTCATCTGAAAAATATCAACACTTATTAAATTGGCATGATACCAGTTCTAGGACGAAAATGATAACAGCGTTGAGCTTGGCTCCATTTTCAGACTTGTTCTTTTTTTTTCTTTGCTATTTGAGCATCCCCTAGTTAGACTGTTACCATTGCACAAGTAGAAATGTAACATCTATGCAACCGTCTCAGAATGAGAGACATCTACTGTACGTTCCCATATGTGCAGTGATGTACAAGTCTAAATCTGGCTTCAGTCTACCAAACATAAAGTTGGGAAATGATATGTAATATTTACAAGGTATTTGGGTTCTGTTGGACATTGGTCTCGGGTTAATTCACCATTTGAATTATACCAAAAGTATCAAGACATAAATTCAACCATTTGCTCTTAGTAGTTACCTGGGGTGAATCACATTTAACTCTTGTTTTGTATTTAGCCTGATACACTGTTTCCAAAATGACCACCATGCACTGAAATGATTGCAGTCAAATTACATGAGTGTCCATAGTTAACCGCAATTAATCACAAATTAATCTCACTTTTTAAAAAATCTGTAAATGTACTCTAAAGTTACCCTAAGGTAACTGTGATTACTCAGAAGTCTAGTAGTTTCCGGTGAGCAGAACTGTGCATCTCTGTCCCGACGCCTCCTCTGCTTTAGCTTTCTCATGTACATACAAGTTGTGCATCTTGGTTACAGTGGTGGCTCTCGAAGGCGATGCATATATGAAGTCTTTAGATAAGATGCAGATTATTTCAACAGACCCTTGTCCTCAACAGTGTTAATTCAATTCACTTCAATTTTATTTGTACAGTGTCAAATAACAACAAAATTTGTGTCAGGACACTTTACAAAGTAAGGTCTTAATATTATTATTATAGAGGAAAAAAACCCAAAAATCTGCCATCAGCAGCACTTGGCGACAGTGGGGAGGAAAAACTCCCTTTAACAAAAGAAACCTCTGACAGACCTCGGCTCTTGGTGGGCGGCCTTCTGCCTTGACCGGTTGGGGTGAGTGGATAGAGGAGAGACAAAAGAAGAAAAGCAACAAGACACAACAAACAATCAAACACTGGTCAGGTTGATGTGGCTGGTGACTGCTCGTCAGAGACGTAAAGCTCCAGGGCCAGGGCAACCTGTAGAAAGGTACAGGGAGAGAGAGAGGACACACTATGGGAGAGAGGAGACACAGTTAGTGATGTGTATTGGTGGCATATAGATACAT